CTGATATGATGAATCATACTTCGTGAGTGTTTAAATAACACCAGAATTCGATCGGGCATCCCAAAAATAACCCAGAAAGCATACCTAACAATGCCATATGTCAGAAAACACCGAAATTTTGGTACGCGACTGAGCTTTAATTGAGCTTAATTGGTCAATTAAGCATTAACTGTTTAATTTATGAATAAACTGACTGTTGGAATCGACTCCCGCCCCAAAATACCCTAGTAACATGTATACATGACTTAAAGTGTTCAGCGTAAGATTTACACAATTTTCCATAATCTGCAAAATCGGAAAAAAGGCGTGGCCCGTAAAAAAGTTTTCGACCAACAAAAATTTTGTAACTTTTTTTTAGGTTTTTATATGGACAATACAACACATTAGTGAAGAATCCAGCTTGTTTCACTCGATTTCCCGGTAGAGGCCTTTTTTGCCACTTTATGACTGGACTAGTGAGAGTATGAGACATAGCTAGCACGTGAGAGTATGAGACATAGCTAGCACGTGAGAGAGTCTTCACCTGTGTAGCTGCTTGTTGCGACTGTAGCTCTGCTCAGCGATGCTGTAAGCAATCGCTCTCCATCTCATCCTCCTCCAGCATCCGCGTCGAATGCCGTAACCGTGGTAACCAGCGTGCCCTCCGTCGTCGCTGGCGTCACCCCTGGCAACGCAGCGAAACACGGGAATCAGTGAAAACAGTCGTGTCGCCTCGGCGGATGATCAGGCGAGCCTCATTGTTTACTGCTGTTGTTTACAGACTATAGGGTATATTATTAGGGTATGGAATTAGGATATGAGATTAGGTGATGAGATTAGGAACTATGAGATCATGTTATGATCATAGTAAGAGACCAAATAAGATATAGATATATATAGATAGATATATAGATATATATATACAGTGCTCGAAATAAGAAAAAAAATTTCGTTGTCACTCGGACAACCCCGGCATCAACATCGGGTTGTCCCAAAAACAAATCCCCAAAAAAAAATCATCTGATTTTCAAATCACATAATAATATAATCAGAAAACCCGCAAAAAACAGTGGCATAGCAGGAGTTTTTACATAGGGGGGCCAAAAACAGCGATACTGCGCAAAATAGTGACGACTTAATATTTCACTGAGCTCCTTCCCTCCTCTCCACCACCCTACCGGGCTCCCCTTACCTCTTCCTTGCGAATCTTTGTTTTTGGCGCCATGCCGAAAGGCGCATTTTTGTTCATTTTTTTCTGCTCCCAAAATATTAATTCGCTTCAGTGGCCGCGTCTAGGCATATCCAAGGAGGGGGGATGTTGAAAAAACAGCGGGGGGGTATGGGGTCCTCCCCCAAGAAAATTTTGGAAACTTGCTAGGTTTGCTGGTTCCAAATCGAGTTCACCTTTCATAAATCAGAAGACCTGACAGATCGCATATATATACCAGTGTTGAAATAGCAGCTGGTTCCCATATTTTATATTCATTCACAGATTTAATTCACGATTAAGATTTCTTGAAGAGCTAGAAAGCACTCGGATTTGAAGCTATGAAACGAATATTAGTGTGTAGCTAGCCTATACCAGTTAGTTTGCATGGATTGATTGTCAGTTTCCGATGCAAAGGTATGGAAAGTCAAAATCGTCTGATTAGATTAATTGGGTACACGCGTATATAGATAGCCGAGTCGGTTTAGAGTTAGTGTAAGGGTTTGCAGATAGGCGTTTTCGGGTTGTCACCGGACAATGTCTCAGACTGGTTAGGTTGTCGGCGCCGAAATTCTCGGTTGTCTCGCGACAACCCCAAGACGGACAAGAGCCTTATTTCGAGCCACTGTTATATATATATATAGTATATATATATATAGCTAGTAAGATAATGCTTTAAGATCACGCTTTATAGATCCGCATAAGATCATGTTACAGGCCATTCTGTTATAAGACCACGCATATAATATGACTATGGTGTGCATCGTCGCGGCACGGTTACCCAGCGTAGACGACTCGCTCGCTGGAACGCAAAAGGACGCGCGTTGATTTCCGTTGACGTTCCACGACGGACGTCACCCACGCTCGCGTCACGTCATCACGATCGTACGTCTCCCCCGCCGCCGCCGCCGCCGCCGGCCGCCATGACGCGTCGTTCGTCGCCGCGACGACGAGGTCGTACGACGACGCCTCCTCGCGGTCCAGGGGGCGCCGCGCGACCACATCGCCCGTCGCCGCGTCGACGGAGAAGACGGAGGCGCCGTTCCCGCCAACGACGTGATAGAAGATGCGGGCGTTGTCGCCCGCGTCGCCGTCGCTCGCCGTTACCGTGGCGACGCGCTCGCCCGCGCGTCCGTTCTCCATGACGACAAACGTCTGAGGCTCAGAATCCTGCGAGAAGACGGCAATGACGAGTCGTTAGTTCTAACGATGAATTAACACCGGTGAACGCAGTCTAGCGATCAACATGCATGTAGAAGTTCAACTGTTCTTCAGAGAAAGATTCTGTTCTGTTCCTAATCGCAAAGCGCGCTT